TTTCTACAAACACTTTCAATCTCTTGCTATCACACCAATACCTAATTTGTGCAACTAGAAGGACTCACATTCAAGGTTTCACCACAAACAGCCTGTTGTCCAACTGAACAAGCTGAAGACACCGTTAGACCAACACAGTTTCCTTCCTTGTAAGGAAACAAAACCAGAGACCACAACAGCAAGTGGTCTGCAGATGCCTTTGAAACAAAGAGGTCTCATTTCAAAACTAGTCAGTTTTAAGGAGCACATTCCCTGGAGAAGTCAGGTACTGACAGTAAGTTGTGGCCCAAGCACTTTGGAAGCAACAGGCTATTGGTTACTGGAAGGAGATCTGTAGCTGGGGCAAGAGCTGGGTTTGATCCCACAACTCCTGCAACTCAGCAAAGCCCCTTCTCTGCCGGGCAGATGGTGAGGTGGAGACCAGTGTACGTGGGGACTCTCACTGTGCAGCCCTGACAAAAGTGGCAGCTGGTCAGCACTTACATTATTCCCCCCAATTAGAGGCAATTAACACCTCCTGCTAATCCTTCCTTTGCCCTGGAAAAATTTCAGAAGCCACAGTTATATTGTTTGCAGGACAGTCTTCCCCAGCAGTAGAGAAACAGATGACACTGAGCACTGAAAAGTGATAAAGTCTGTTTCGGAACCAAGGGAAATCACAGCAATCTTTCCTGTCCAAAGAAATTCCCATCAGCAGCCAAAGAGACACTGCTCAAAAGGAGCTAAAATGATGGGCTGGTGCAGGGAATGGCACTCACAGCATGGAAGCACGAGAGCTGGCACACAGGCTCACTCCCAGCAGACTGCAGCGTGGTGAAGCTGTGAACAAAGGCCACAGCAGCAGCCACCTTCCACAGCCCTCCCACAGACACCTGAGACACTGGCTGTGTCTGCTCCTTCCACTTCTGCAAACCTTGACACTCTCAAGGGCATGTTAATTTTATTTTTGTAAGGAAACCAGTTCTGCTCCAAAGTTTTTTCTGCTGTGAAGGCAGATCCTCTTCATTAAGCCCAGGAGTGAGAAGGAAAGACCCGAATTACAGCTGTTGATAATTGCAGGAAAGGGAAAAGTCTGACTCACCAAGACCTCGCAGATGGAAGCAAATTAAGGTCTTCCCAAAGGAAGCAGCATGTTTCTTAGGAAAGAGGCATAAACTTCGTTTCTGAATGTCAGCCTCCTCCCCAGCACTGCAGCAGCAGGGTGGAGACTGCCAGTGCAGACAACAACTGCTGCTGGTGGCAGCTCTCCACCAAGATCCTGCAGGGGAATGGCACTGCCTTCCCTCCACAGCCCAGCTCCCACCTGCTGCTCTTCCAGGGAAGCACCAAGAGCAAGAGCAGCTCAGACACTGTAAAAGTGACTGTACCACCCCTGCTCTTGACAGGCTGGCAGATACACAGGTGCTGGAAGCAAAAAGGCCTTGGAGCAAATGGCCTCAGCTTTATGTATAAAGCCTGTGGAAAGATCTGATGTCCTGCCGTACCCTTGCTCTAGTCTCTGTTAAAAGTTCATGTCCTATTTGACTTCACATCCCAAACATGCCCCCAGGATACTTGATTAGCAAAGACTCACTGATACATAAAAAATTATGACTTAGAGTTACAGTAAAACCTAAGGTTAATACAGGTATTAAAAACGCAGCAGTTGCATCATGGTGGCAAAATTTGAGACTGACCGGGGCTCTACTGACACTGATTTTCACCAGTGAAACCACAGTCATGAAATAAAACTGAAAAGGTTGCAGTGTTATCACAGCAGTCGCTGACACCTGCTAATTTGTTAACAAAACAGGCCTTCAGTAAAAGGATTAGTGTTGTAATACAAAACATTGGTGACTGGCTGATCCACAAATGTGTGCTACAATAGGTCTGGCAAGACTGAAGGCCTTTCAAGCAGGGCCAGAATAAAGAACAAGTGATCCCAGTTTAGCCACAAATGATATTAGAACACTGACCTGCTCAGAGCAGTTAAAAGGCTTTTAAAATAAGAATAAGTAAAGGGTTTGTTGTGTCTAAGGGCAGGAAACACTGCACAACTAACTTTCCCTTATGTTACAGTACTACTGAAAGATTAAAGTGAAAAAATGTAAGACATTGTCTAAACAAATCTTCTAGCATTATTAAGTCTGTGCAACAGCATGTGACTAATGTTCACTGGCAAAATTAAATTCAACTACAAAAATTCTGAAATCTGATTATGGCAATTAAGAATTCTCCATACAATGCAGCCTGCCCATTAACAGCCTACTCCCGCAGCAGTCTCCTGTTAAGAGTTTGTTATATTTTTCCTAAAAGCAAGCATTTTTGCCCATAATTACTATTTCCCCCCACCCCATGTTAAATAAATCATAATGTTGTTGAAAACATTGTTTGCAATCAAGCAGGGCTTAAATCTTTAGAGATCCTTGTTCAAGCGTGAGTGGGGATAAACATTAACAGCATCAGGCATTGACTAATCAGTTAATAACAACTTCTACCTCAGAAATCCAAGGCTGGAAATACTCTGGGTTAATGCCATCTCTGACCACAACCAGGACACAGCCAGAGCATCACATCTGGGAGGAATGGAGTTCACCACCTCTGCAGTGGATGGGGTTGAGTCAATCTAACCCTCATCCAACGTGACACTGCCATTGTGATATAAATAGTGTCTTATTTGCCTGCTTCAGAGGAACAACGTTAGGCAAGAAAAGGTCAAATGGTTTTGCCACAGGGAAAAAGAGAAAAAATCTTTTGTAATTTAATATTGCCCCCCCTCCTTTTTTTTTTGGAGGACAGGAGACTCCAGGTGCTACTCACATAGGAGGGAAAGGAATACAGAAGAGAAAGCATATTTATCTAGTCTCCAGTAGCACAAAGCAACAATATTTCAATCATTTCTTAAGGCCCAGAGGAACTAGTATTTACCCAGCATCTCACTGATCTCATCTCTACTTGGAAACCTGCAAACTCTATAAAAAAAGGCTGCTCAAACCTGCCTATTTTGACAATGCAGAAGTAAGTTACAGCTGCAGGCAGATCTAGGACAGATTTACTGGATACACCCAGTGAATGCATTTTTTTCTTATTCCACAATGCTCACTGCATTGATGATTTCAATTAAAAAATCATTAATAAACATGACTTTCACCCACAGCTAGCTATCAAATTGATCAATTTTTGGGCAAATGGTAAAAAATACACAATTTTAAGTCTTTAAATACATTACACAACATGAGCTTGCTGCTACAAACCCTCAGATAAAGGCTATCTGAACACCCACCTTATTTATCAAGACTGCTTTCAAGTAATTTTCTTATCCTACAGAAAATAAAGCAGCTCTGTTCCAAAATTTACATGCAAGGCAGGTTGGTATATTCATATGCAATTGAACTAGAGAAACACATACAGCTGGGAAGTGAGATTTCTACAAATTATTACAGGAAGGTGACCCAAAGGCCGATTTATTGCTCACTTTTATTGCTTCCAGCACACTGCTAATCTGTGCACATGGCAATACTGCAGCACTAATGGAAATCAGTAAGCAGGGTCATGTGTGTCAAATAACTGCTTTGCATGTTCTAAAAATATTTGTAGGTCCCGTTTGCTGGAGTGGCACCGACCTTCCCTCGTGTTATCCGTGCTCCCTGGGCGTGCCCTGCACCCACAGCTCCCAGGGGGCACAGTGGAACACATGGAATACACTGCTAAACTTGTTATCAACCGAATTAGAAAGTAAAATAATTACAGCAAGTTTCCCCTTGGGCCACCTTCTGCAGACAACAAAAGACTTCTGAGATACCCCAAACCAGCCCACCTTTCCTGGGAAATGCCACACACTGAAAAAACAATTATTTATCACTAGATGAGGGTGCAGCAGGCAAGGTGAATGAGATACATGAAGTGTCTGACTCGACTGGAACCGTGTGTTTGGCCCAGACCCTGCGACACACAGGCAGCTTGAGGGTTATATTTGCAAAACATCTTTATGCAGTGACTTTAAGCTTTCGGGCTGAACACAGCACAGTGCAAAGGAGAGAGAACACAGGAGGTCCCCTCAGCCATCCTCTGCAGCCTGAGTGAGAAAACAGGAGAAGCAGCAGCACAGACAACAAAATACACATAACAGCAGTAAGTCTCCTACAACATGCACAAAGATGATGAAAAGCTCCAGAGATTATTCTGGCCTTGAAGAGAAGCATCTCCTCGAGTCGTGACTGGCAGAGGGATTTTGCTTTGCACGCTCTGTGAAGGTGGAGTGAATATCACCAGCTCCTGACAGCGTGACAACCTGAGCCACAGGCAGCACGACGAGGCAGCACAAGGGCACTGAGAGCAACAAGTGCTGGCAGTGAAGGATCACTGTGCGAAAATGCAGCGTTCAGCTGGGCACGCTGCTGCTGGCACTGGGAACTCAAACCAGAGATTTCCCATCCCCACCAAAAAAAAAAATAAAAAAAAACAAATTTATGAATAATGGCTCTTTCTTTGGACTTCTGAAAAGTTCACGAAAATTCTGAGCATGTGAATCGTAGGCAGGGAGACTGAAAATTAAGGATTTGAAAGAGTAATTAAAGACGAGCTTGATGTTTATTAAAACAAAGCCCAGCGCCACAGCTTGAGAAAAACAAGGGAATTCAATGGTTCTAACACTGTTCTTTGTCAGGCATTACACACCGTGGATTTGCATTTTCCAACTACCATCTGGATTTTTTTTTTTTTTATTTTAAATGCATAACGGGGAAGTAAAGCAAGACAACTTGTACCGTCACGTCCTCAGGCATTTTTGTTCGTTTTGTTTGCTTTTAAACAAGGAAAGTATAGAGACAGTGACTGGTTATGATTACTGAGAAATACCTAAAGAAAACGAGTTTTTCAAAATGCCCCATCCAAATGCATTAGCCATTAGAATCTCCTCAAGTTTCCATTAGTCTGTCAAAACAAGAAATAATCTTATAGCAGCTCTGACTAAAATTCTTAAAGGATTGTCACACTGATTGAATTTCAAAGTATAGACTTACAAATTCGTAGTCTCCATCCTGTGGTACTTTCCAATCAGATGAATTTTTTGTCTGGCCAGACACATTCTTCCCGAAGCTATTGATTTGATTCTCCTTCTCCTTCTGCTCAAAATATTCAAGGAATGATGGTTTGGCTGGCTGCATGGTTTCATCCCTCCCTGGAAATATTAAACATAACAATAAAAGAGTTGTTTTGAAAAATATAGTTTTGCTTATACAGCCCTACATCACGCCCAAAAGTGATTTAATTTTTTTAGCACACACTAAATCACACAGTACTGCTAAAGTACTTGCTAAAATACTATTTTTCAGCAGCTTTTCAATCATAAAACTGACTGTACAGTGGGAAAACTGGAGAAGGGAAGCTTAAAGCCCAGCACACAAGAGATTACAATGCTGGAGGCCTTGGCCTCTAGACCTGCAATCCATCATCACAGCACATTGCCAGGTAACTCGACCTCATGCACTGAATGTTGAACTGAACTGCTGCCCACGAGACAGGCTGGGCTACTTCATCCCAGCCAGGTTCCATGCACTGCAAAAATAAGCCAAGTTCAAAAACTAAACAGCGCTGTTTTACAAGCAGAAACTCACCTTTATATTTGTGAACAGAACAGGACAAAAATGAGGCTTTCCAAGACCACAAATACCTTATAAATACCACATAACTTGCCTTGGGTAGAAGTAGTCAAGTTCTACATTGTTTGTGTAGAAAGGCTTAATTAGCTGACAAAAGCTCTTTTTTTTTCTTTTTATAAATAGTAAGTTTTCAAGTTTGCTGCTCCAGTTTTCTTTTCATAAATTAATTCTTTTAAGTCCACTTTCCTAGTGGATTACTCAAGTAAGCCAGATATACAGATCAACCTCTCAATTCTAGGCTGTATTTAAGAAACTTGGGGTAATAAGAAACAAGTTAAGAGTACAAAGAGAGACAGAGGAATCAAAATAACCCTGTAAACATGAATACTTTGATTTTTAAAAGCAGGTCTCATAAGCCTCCCAAGCACCATTCTCAAAGAGCTCGCCCATACTGACGGCAGAAGAAAGGATGGGGCCAAGAGCACATGGCTTTAGCACAACTGACATTGCTCTCATTTGCTTAAATTATCCTTTGGAATGAGCAGGAGTTAAAAAAAAAAGGGAGAATGCTGTTGATCCATTAAGAGCTAATAAAACCACATTCTCACAGGGTGCACAGGTAGGTTGGGTAGTTGGTGGGATTAGGGATACGAGCACTTTATCCTTCTTCCTTTAGCCATTACACCATCCAATCCCCTGCTCATGTGATTCAAGAACCACTGCATACAAATAATTCTAGCAATCCATTCAGCAAACAGGTTTCCATCACTGCAGGTCACAAGTTCCCAGAGCAGAGCAGCTCCCCAGGGCTGTGTGGAGAGAGCAGAGGTGGCTCCCCACGGGAGGCGGCTCCGGCTGTGGGGTGGCAGCAGCAGAACAGGGAAGGAAGTGATGAAACATGAGAGGATGGAAATACTGATTTCTAGCACAGACAGCAAAAAAAACCAACAGAGGAAGAAAACATGACATTTAACTTCACAGCAAGTCAAGATCAAAAGGCTTTCAGTATCTCCAAAGGAAGATTTCTTCACTAGTGCAACCAGTCCAGCTTGAGATGCTGCACAGACTCCTCTCACTTAAACTGGCCAGTCCTGTGACTTACAGCACTGCTAAATATCTTGTGAAGAGTCCCAGTCCAAAGGAAGAAGCTGTCTTGCACAGCAAACATGCTGTAACAGGGCTGCAACACAAGGCCATGACAGCTGCAAACACAGCTAAAGGCTGCTCACAGCTTAATGCCACTGCACTGCTCTTGATGATAAAATGCTTCAGCAGAACCTGTGAGCATCATGGAAGCAAGCACTGAAAGTCAGTAAATGGTTTTGTTCTGATAAGACAAGGTTCTCTAGACAGTGCAATAGGTTACTCATACCTGAAACACATGTTTTAGGTGATGCAGAAACCATCATTTTCAGAAAGCAGGATCAGGACTGGAGTTAACAGAAAATAGCATCAGAATAGCCTAATTCTGGACTGTGGAAATAAGTTCACTGCCGAATGCCATACACTTGAAATAAATATAATCTGTCAGGCAGGCAATCAAACAAATTTTAGAGCTTCAGACAGACACACAGGGGATGTTCTGTGATGGGTTGGTCTGTGTAATGCTCTCTCCTACAAGAGTCTGTACAGAAGGCAGGCTGTCACAAGGCAGTCCTCTCTAAGGATACTCAGCAGTGCTTTCCTCTTGAAAAAATATTAGCTGCTCTGGAAACCCATTAAGATTTAATCCCTGAACGTTATTCTTGCACACAAAATTGCCACCCAGTGATCCAGAACTTCCCTTGCAGATTCTGTCTGATCCTCAGACAAGCAGATGAATTCCTTGGTCAGCTACGAGATACTTTAGGAAATTATTTGTCTATAGACACGTTAAATACAGAACAAATTTCTGCAAAGTATGAGAAATCCTGGCAGGATATTTGGGTTGTGATACTGAGAGAAGTGTGGTTCTACACGGCCTGAAATGTCATGATGCATTTTGAAAAAGCCCTGCGTGGCTCTGCCTCTCCAGGGTCAGCTAAAAGCTCAAGCATGAACTGCAGTGCTGATACTTTTGCACCACGACAAGTGGAGCAAAGACAAATTATTCCACCCCTGGCAGCAGTTCCCCTTTTCTAAACAACGAACCCAAAAAACTCATCGCAGGGAATTAGATCAAGAAGGACACCTTCAGACCAGCAGCGTGAAGGTCAGGCAGGGAACACGCCTGCGAAGTGGAGAACAGATTTGCTGTTGGGAATAATTACTGTAATACAATCACAATCCAATTACTGCTGAGTGATAAAACATTTATTTAGAATGAAGTAAACACACCCCTTGTGCTCTGCTGCGGCTCAGCCTGTTTGAAGCAGGAGGTAAGTTATTATGGACAATCTCGGCAATGTTTAACACCAACTAATTTTGTAGAAATACAGGGATTCATAACTAGCCAGGCTAATCTATACACAGCTCACCGACAGCCAGTCTGGGTCTCGCTAACTCAGACTTCCTAGGGGGAAAAAATGAAAATCTAAATCATGACTGTACTCTCTGTTTTGAAAACTATTGTTTGCAGCACAGGAGGCTTTGAAAGCAAATGTTTCACTCTAGTGATATCGGCTTATTCAGTTCGTTCTTTTTATTTTCTTAAAGACTGTTCACTCAAAAGAGAGCTTGATTCAGAGTGCCAGTTAAAACAATCGTGCTCGTTTCCCCACATCTTGTGTTTTAACAAGAACTGCAATATTTGCCTTTGGCCTCGTTGAACTTCTTGAGATTTGCACAGTCCCACCTCGCCAGCCTGTCAAGGACCCTCTGTGTGGCAACCCTCCCCTCCAGAGTGTCAACTGCACCACTCAACTTGGTGCTGTCAGTGATAAATGGAATAGGGAAAATTATGTACCTACAGAAGCTTTTCCTCCTGCCCTTGATGTCCCTGGCCATACTTATTTCTATCAGGGTTTTAGCTTTCCTAACCTGATCCCTGTCTGCTCAGACAATTTCTCTCTGTTTCTCCCGGGCTACCTGTCATTGCTTCTACCCTCTTTGTTGGGATGAACTGCTCCTGAGCTTGGAAGATGTGATCCTTGGATATTAACCAGCTTTCTGGGGCCCCCTTTCCCTCCAGGACTTTATCCCATGGAACACTACCAAGCTGATCCCTAAAGAGGCCAAAATCTGCCCTCCTGAAGTGCGAGGCAATGAGTTTGCTGCGTGACCTCCTCGCTCTCCCCAAGGATGAGACGGACGGTGTGAACTGCAGCAAGGGCAACTTGGCAGAACACAGGGGAGAAAGTTTCACAACAGGGATGGTTGTGCAACAGAGTGGGGCTGGAGGGACTGTGCAAGGCCTTGAGCAACCAGAGCTGACACTGCACTTGCCCCAGCCATCACAGTGGGGTCAGACTGATGATCTCCAGAGGTCCCCGCCCAGACCAGCGCCTCTGAGACTCATGCTCTGCACACCCACTGTCAGACACAGCTAACCCAGCAGTCACCTTAGGCCCTGCAAACGCAAACAACATTTAGCCACCAATTTCAGAACGTTTTGTCACCAATTTGAGTACATTTCTATGCATCAACATGTAACACTGCGCCTTAGTGACGCTTCGTTTTCTTGTCTTAAGTGATATAAAATAGAGACTGCTAACTTACAAAAAATGGGAAAGGAAAGATAATATAAAAGGAGAAACAGCTGGAATAGAAATACAGATCTAAGATATCTGAAATTGTAGTTGCTGCTCTGATCCCAGTAGGGGTGCATATGCAGTAAGACCAACAGAAACGTTCCCGGAGACAGAAAGACATTACACCAAATCAATTATCATCCCAGCACGACTGAAATTCTTTTTGTCAATCTTAGCACTTAACAGCAGTGTCATCTTTCCAAAGATGATCTGCTATTAATTCAACACAAGAGTCACTCCGCTATATCTTTAAAATTTTGGTAACAGGCTGTTGAAGACAAAAATCGATCACTGCTATTTGCAGAAACAGATGCTGCTGAAAGATGACACTGCACCAAACGAGTCTGTGCCAAAAAGCATTTAACTTCCTAATTTTATAGGGTTAGACTAAAATATGAACATCTGACACAAAGTGAGATCACAACTGTGGCAGAGAAGAGCCTTTTATGAGAAGGTCACCCCGTGGTGACAAGAAAGGCTTCACTGTGCATCTATTTTGGAATCTAAAGAGTTGCTTATAAGGATGAGCCACGAGAGCTCCCTGGAGCCATTAACGGCCTATCATTTAGATATGCAGTCATCTTTTAGGAGCTATATTAATTACACAAATGGAACACCACAGCTCTGTTGGGGCTGGTCCAGCTGACTGCAGAATTGCAGGTTCGGGGTAGCTGTGCAGAGCCACAGGCACTGGGAGGGACTCTGAGAGCTCAGCCCATCCTGTGAAGAACAGAAGCCCTCCATGGAAAACTCACAAGTGCTGCCTGGTATAAAGTCATGTTTAGAAAGTATAAAAACATCAGTATTGTTGTGACAACAGCAAAAGGTGTGAAACTAGTGGGTCCAAAGAATGCCATAAGTTGTGCACAACAAATAAAGATTCTGATTACTGAAGGAATATCATGCCAGGC